CCAGCATAAATCAGCCAAGAAGAACTTTGCCCTCCAAAAAATACCAGTAAGAAAGTGAAAAGGCAAGCCATTGACTATGGGAAAATATTTGTAATACACACATCTGACAGAAAAAAAAAAAAAGAAAAAAAAAAAACAAAAACCTTGTATCCAGAATTTATAGGAGGGGTTCTTACAGCTCAAGAATAAAACAAACAACCCAGTAAAACTGGGCCAAAGATCCAAATAGACGCTTTACCAAAGAAGATGCATGTGCACAAAAAGATGCCCAAAGTGTGCAACATTGTTAGCCATTACAGAAGTGCAACTGAAAACAGAGATGCTAATGCAAGCTCACTCGGACTGCTAAAAGTGAAAAAAAAAAAAAAAAAAAAAAAAAACTGACAGTGCCATACGTTGGCGAGGATGTGGGACAAGTAGAATTCTCATACACTGCTGGGGGCCAAAATGGTGCAAACCCTTTGGAAAAGAGCTTCTTACAAAGTAAAACATACCATGCAACCCAGCGGTTCCGTGGCTAAACACTGACCAAAGAGAAATGGAAACGTGTTCGCCCAGATTTGTACTTGCGCGCTCACAGCAGCTATAGTCATAAAATTCTACAACTGGAAGCAGCCCAGATATGTATCAGCTGGTGAATGGCTAAACGAACCACAGGATGTCCACTCCTTGGAATACCACTCAGCAATAAAAAGACCAAACTAATGACGAGGTACGGCATGGGTAGATGTACACAAAAGAACACAGACTGTTGGGTTCCATTTATAAGAAGTTCTAGAACACACAGAACTAATCTATAGCGATAGAAATCACATCACCGGTTCCCTGTGTGGGAGGCAGGGAGAGGGACTCCCTTCGGAAGAAGCGGGAAGATATTTTGAGGGGTATTGGAAAGGTGCTTTACCTGGAGTGGGGCAATGTTTATGACGTTGTCTACGTCCGTCAAAACTCACTGAACTGTACAGTTAAAATGTGTGTGTTTTGTAAATTATTCCTCAATAAAATTGACTTTTTTTTTTTTAACAAAGGAATGGTGGGAAGGAGAAATGGAATGTACTTTGGGGATGAGGAAGGGGTAGAGCCTGGAACCTACAAGGGCAAGGGATCCTCTGAAGAGTTTGAATGCCAGCCCGTTCCTGTTCCCGTGGGTCCCTCCCTGGGGCTGCCTTTTCCTCCTGCCTTAGCAGAGGCCATCCATGGACAGGGCAAGGCCAAGACCATAAAACCCAAAGACCTGACCCTTTCGTGGTTTTTCCTCTCTCAGTTCAAGTCAGCGATTATTTATTGAGTACCTACTGTATACCATCGCCTATGTGCCTGGAGATTTACTCACGTTAGTCTCTTACAGACTTGGAAGTCAGACTGCCCGGATTCCAGCCCTGGCTCATAACTGAATAGCTGGCTGGTCTTGACCAAGTTCCTCAACTTGCCTCCATTTCCTTCTTTGTAAAGTGGAGACACTAATTGCGTCTCCTCGCCATTAGCGATACAGTAGCTGCTGCGTCTGCACGTTTGCATGCACGCTGCACAGCTCCAGGGCTCCAGGACTCCAGGCAGACCACCAGGCTGCAAGCCCTGTCTTCACCTCTCACTGGCTGCGGGGACTGGAGATGGTCATTCAGCCCCTCTGGGCCTCCATTTCCCAGAAGGTAGGCATGATACGGAGCTTCCATCACAAAGCATTTGAGAATTAAATGAGCTAATAGAAGTAGTAAAGTACTTGGCTCAGCGCCTGGCATATTGTAAGTGCTTTAAAAAATGTTGTACTCGGGGCGCCTGGGTGGCGCAGTCGGTTAAGCGTCCGACTTCAGCCAGGTCACGATCTCGCGGTCCGTGAGTTCGAGCCCCGCGTCAGGCTCTGGGCTGATGGCTCAGAGCCCGGAGCCTGTTTCCGATTCTGTGTCTCCCTCTCTCTCTGCCCCTCCCCCGTTCATGCTCTGTCTCTCTCTGTCCCAAAAATAAATAAATGTTGGAAAAAAAAATTAAAAAAAAAAAATGTTGTACTCTTTATAGGAGCATTGCATTTGAGTAAAGGAAACTGCAAGCCCAGAGATGCTGGGCCAGTTGGACAAGGTCACACAGCAAGTCAGCCAGGACAAGAACCCGGTCTCCTGGCCTATGTGAGAGCGTGTCTAGCAAGGAGGCTGACTGATATTCCTATTTCTTCCCACAACAGCACAAGAGGCCTCCTGGGCCTCCCTTCCCAAGCACAAAGGAGCCAGAGGGAGGCTCAGGGCACCAGGAGCTGGGGCTGACTTCTGTGGCCTGCCGAAGCAGAGCTCAAACTCCTACCTACGGGGGCCCCAGGGAAACCAAGATGGCGCACGTGCTCCCAGAAGCCAGAGCACCGACCCCTCCTGCCCGCAGACAAGGGGTGTCCCCCAATCCTTCCAGGCTCCGACCACGTGCCCTGTCCTCCATGATGCCGTCCATGACTGCCTCCCTAGATCCCCAGGCCAGGAGGGGCCACAGAGAGACATGTATAAAAGACTAAAAATAAGACATTCCATTCCACTCCCAGCTCAGACTCAAGACTCATAGCACTGTGATGAGGGCTCCATGGGAGAAAACGCTTCAGGGGGCCTCTAACATGGGGTCAAGCCCTAGAAGTATTCAGGAAATGTTATTTTTCTTAAAAGTCAGAAGGAACATTATTCCCACTTTACCCAGAGGGAAACTGAAGGGCTCGGGGCTGAGAACACACAGCTCATAAATGGAAGAGCTATATAACCTTTCTCATTTCTCCACGCCTGCCAACCTTCTATCTAGGACCCTAATAACTGCAGGATGGGGAAACCGAGGCCCAGAGAGGGCAAGTGACTGTCCAAGGCCACACAGTCACTGGCAGAACCCAGACTTGACTCAGGGACTCCTGACACCACCCTTGACCCCACACACAGGGTCTCAGGCTGAGCCGAAAGACGTCACTCCTCAGGCCCAAGACCTGTGGGGACGAGCCCACGGCAGGTGCAGGCAGGGCCTGCTGCCCCTCTGGGATGAAGACATGGCTTCAGGAGGTCCAGAACAGTCTCAGCCACTGAGCAGGGCTATTGCACTCTGGTGAGGAGAACTCCCCACTGAGCAGGGGGCCCAGAGGGCTGAGGCAGAAGGAGGGATGGTGGATGGGCCATGGGCAGTGTGGACCAGGCAAAGGGGAGCTTGGTGTCTCCCAGTACAGAACTGGAGTCCTCACTTACTTCCCAGTTGTGGCACTTACCCAAGTGGGGATGATGGTCCCATCAGCACCCCCCCCCCACCAGGTGGGGCTGTCTTACAGTCGAGGAGGCATAAAAAGGCAAAAAGCTGCAGAAATTTGGGTCCCTGGCCCACCCATTCCAAAAAAGATGCCCTTGGACAATCACAAACTCTATGAGCCTCAGTTTCCTCATCTGTCCAACGGGGCTAAGAGTACCATGATGCTATACTGACATTTATGGCTGTGGGAAATAAACCTTCTAGATCCGTCTTTCAAGAAACTAAATGCTAACCATCCTACCTCCATCATCATCAGGCTGTCACCCTCAGCCTCAGGAAGGGAGAGGCCGCACAACGCCCAGGAATAGGGCAGGGCCTTGGTCCCCAGTCTGTCTGGGCACTGGGGAGACCCTCATGCTCCGAGACCAGGGGCGCCTGACGTCCTATGGTGTCTTGCCGGGCATGAAGCTAGACGGGCTGCATATATGGTGTCCCAGGTGTGCCGAGGCCTGTGCCTAAGACCCCCAGTGTCACCTTACAGCATCCAGTCTGAGACAACTAGATTGATTACTAGACTTGGAGCAGTTTCTGCTACCGTCCCAAAACGCCCAGGTAAAGGACTGCAAAAGCCAAGTCGGCTGGGGAATAGCCAGTGTAATATCTGAATATCCTCCTGTACAGAACCCCCTCATCCGGCAGGTGCACAGTAGGTGGGGCCACGAGGCCCATTCTAGGTCTGGCAACTGGGGCTGTGGTGAAAGCCAAACAAAGCCATACAGAAGCTGCCTGCCTCGTGCTGGCCCACTGAAAGGGCTTCCCATCCCCAGCACCTTTATCCTTTGATCCCTACAATCCCACGAGACAGGCACTGCACGTGCTGTTGGAGAGGCCCAGAGAGGCTAAGAGCCGTGGAGAATGTCACACAGGAAAGCAGGGTCCCCGAGAATTCCAGCAAGGACCGCTTCCCTGTCCCCGAGGCCCCGGAGGCCCTGGAGGTCTCTGCCACCAGGAGAGAGGGTGAGGCAGGTGCGTTCCCGGGGTGTCTTGTGGCCAGCCTTGTAGGTGATGTGGGTCCTAACGAGAGCTAACATTAGAACTAATTGGAGAAGTATTTTCATGACAGGGGTGGGCATGTGGGCAGTAAAGGCACCCAGCATTGCAGGAACAGCACAGGGCTGGTGAGGAATAGCGTCCCTCCCCCTGTGCAAGAGACTCCATGCTGGCCAGGAATTAAGGGCAGCAGGGGTGGCAGCCGAGGGCTGCCTCAGAAGCTGGCAGAGGAGAACGTTTGCTCTTGACCAAAGTCCAGAACATCAGCCTCTGTATATGAACAAGGAAGCCTAGGTGTTTGGGCCTCGGTCTGCCTGTCTGGGAAATGGCCATTGTGAGACCCACTATGCTCCTGCCATTCAAGAACCTTCGGGAGAGCGAGATTGCTCCGGTCCGAATGTCTGTGTCCCCCCAGGTTCCTATGTGGAATCCTAACCCTTGAGGTGATGGTGTTAGGAGGGGAGGAGGCCCCGAGGGAGGAGCATGGTGGGATTGGTGGCTTACAAAGGAGACCCCCAGACAGCTCCTTCCCCCTGGTGAGGACTCAGACAGAAAGCAGCCAACAGTGAACCAGGAAGCAGGCCCTCACCAGACACCGCGTCTGCAGGTACCTTGATCTTGGCCTCACAGCCTCCAGGGTGATGAGAGAGAAATGTTGAAGCCACCTCGATGGTGGTAGTCTGTGACAGCGGCCTGAGCAGGCTGAGACACCCCCCATCCAACAAATTTCAGGAGGAGGGGAACAGTAGGGTTACCTCAAGCGTCCTGGCCTCCTCTGCTACTCTCAGCTGTGGCTTATCCCCAGGGAAACCCAGCACAGGTGGCCGAGGGTGGCTCATCTTTAAGAAAGCCTGTGACACAGAGAGGCGCGGGTCGGGGGAATTATTCGCTTTACACACAAGGCGCTTCTTCCACAAAAGGAGATGCCCCCCCCCACACACACACCCCACTGAGTCCCCTGCATTCTGAGCTTCCCTGCCCTGTTCTGGGAGAAGGTAGAGGTGCGGCAGGGAAAGAACAGACCAGCTGTACCAGCTACTGCCCTGCTCTGGGGGGAGTTCTTCACCTGTAAGGTGAGGGGTTGGAGAGAGTTGTCTCCAGGGCTGGGGGGGTGTCAGGAGGCTTGAAGCAAGAGGTAGGAAATCCCGGGGACGGAGGTTGGTGAGAAACAGAAACCACGGCCCTCAAATGGGCCTGCACTTCTCAGGGACACGGGGGCCACTGGGAAGAGGAGGAAGCCCATTTCACACCTGGATGTTGGGGGGGGGGGGGGCTGGGGTTCAAGACCCCTGCTCCTCCTCCCACGGGGCATGACAGCTGAACATGGGAGAAGGCCAAGGGCAGGGAACCAGTCCTGGGCCACAGTCTGGTGCCTGGCCAGGTGGGATGGTCTGGTCTCCCGTGATTCTTAGAGGGGAGAGCGGGGTAACCTTCTTTTTCTGAAAATGGAGCCAAAGCACCCCTTCGACAGCCTCCCAGCTTCTACATCCCCCTTGTAATATTCCTCTACTCTGCTGCCTACGTGACCCTTCTGGAACATGGTCTTAATCATGGCACTCCCTTGCTCCCCCACCTTCAGTATAGCTCCCTGTCACCCCAGCCAGCTCCCCAAACTGACAACTGAAACTTTGTGAGGCCCTTGTTAAACAGACAGAGAGACCCCAGCCCCCTGCGTGGCAGCCTTCCGAATCCATCAGGCTCTCTCTGGGATTCCTCCAACCTTCTCGTTTGATAGCAAAGCCATCAGAGAGGCAAAGTGACTTGCCAGAGGTCACACGGCAAGGGGACCCGAAATTCGAATCCAGCCCTGGTGACTTGGATAGAGTTCATTTACTCTCCCCAGAGGGGCCACAAGCCTAGAGCAGGAGTTCCACAAAGCTGTGCCCCTTGGCTGAGGAGAGTCTGGCCCCCGGCAGTTAAGGAAGGAGAAGGTTGAATGGCGGGCTCTGAAGGCAGCACGAGGCTGTGGGCAGAGCCCAGACCACGAGTCCGGAGGCCCCGGGCCCCAGCGGCCTGCTGTGGGAAACGGATAGTAAATCCCTCACCTCGCTGACCTCGCAGGTTCCCGTGGGAGTGAGCAGAGAGTGGGCGCTGCCCAGGCTGGAGCTGCACACACACCAGGTGTTTCTTCCACACCCCTTGCCTTTTGCACGGGATCCAGAGGCTCAGGGTCGTGGGCGCAGCCTTTGCAGGCCCCAAATCTACCGTCACCGCTCCCCCCAGCTGCAGCCCACAGTGGGGCTTTGCAGGCCCGGCAAACAACCCCTCACCCCCTCACACCAAGTGGAAACTTTTTTAAAGCAACAGAAACCAACCTCGGGGCGCTGCTCTGTGCTTGATGCTGGTGGCGGGGAAGGAGCTCCGCTACAGAGGAAAGGGCTCAGGGTGGGGGCGGAGGCCAGGCAGAGGCGGCACCAGGAGGGGAGAAACGGAGATCTGATAAGGGAGTCCTGCTCACCGGGGCCGGCCCCAGCAGCGGGGGAGGCACCGGGGGCACGGCCCTGCTCAACCCCTGCAATTTGCTGAGCTGGGGGCAGGGTTCTGCGGTGGCCCCCAGTGCGGCCAGGCACGCAGACCACAGGGTTCCAAGGCTCATCGAGCCCTGCACGCCCCTGCTGTTGGCTGTTTCCTGGGTTTCCTGGGGTGTCTGCCCTGCTCTGAGCTCTGGCTCCCACCCCAAGTTGCTCTGAGAGAAGTCGTGGGCCTGGGCATGGGAACCAGCCAGAGGCTCCAAGGTTGGAAGGCCCCTTTGTCTAGCTCTGCAGCTGACTCACCCATGGCCTTGGGCCAGTCTCTGGCCCAGCGGGCCTGTGTCCCCCTCACCCAAATAGAGGCACTGACTGTCTCTGGTAATAGCATCAGGACGTGGGGCTGGCCCTGGGAATTGAGAGGCTCCAAAGCACGCACTTGCTGTGTGGCCCGGAGCGAGTGGCTTTATCTGGGGTGACCAAGACTGTCGAGTTTAGCACTGAAAGTCTGCAGCCCAGGAAACGCCTCAGTCCTCAGGAAACCATTGGTCACCCTCTACCCCTCAAGACTGGGGTTTCCCCTGCTGAGACTCTAGCGGTCATTCCCAGCTTCCTGCACAGTGCTTTCCATGACTGAGAGGGGGCCCGCCCTCCTGGGCAGACTCACGGCCCGACTAGAGAGACCGGGTGTGCACCTGTCCCAGGGAGGCCAGCAGGCCTCAGGAACCCAGAGGGGTGCAGATACCGGGAGACTTGACTTGGCACGGGCCTCACAGGAGGCGCCTGGCAAGCAGAGAGGCTAACCGGGGAGGGCAGGCCGGTGGGGGTAACGGCTGCAGCACGGACCGGGAGGCCAGCCCGTGGAGAAAGCAGTGCACCAGGCCCTGTACTGAGCCCTCAGATAGACAGAGGAGCCAGACTGGCCCTCAAGGGCCCCACAGTGGCATTTCTAAATCTACTGCCTCTGCTCTCTGAATTCCCCTGGCCACATCCACTGCCAAGCGATTTGCATCTAAACAAACACATAAAAAAGAAAACCACAATAGACAACAAAGGTCTGTCTGTTTTGTTTTGTTTTGTTTTTTAAGTGAAGATGGGCTTTTCACAGAAATCAAAAGCCCCCAGGGGGCTCCCCAAGTGGATGTCTACACGTTCCCCCCACACTTCCCTGACTCCCCACGCAGCCTGCCCCAGCGGAGGCAGACCACCCCGGAGAGACCAACCGGAGGCCGAGTGGACAGCCCTGGTCCCCTCCCACGCTCCAGGGCACGGGGCACTGCCACCTGCCAGACACCTTCCCCTCAAAGCATCTCACCAACAGCTTCCGGGGTGGCCTGGGTTGCCAACCCTTCCTAGTTTCTCGTGCCCGAGAGACCTCACACTTCCTAGCTGGGCCAACCTCAACCATTCACTGACCCTCTCTGGGCCTCTGTCGCCTCATCTGCTAACGGAGGGCTCTAAGGCAAGCGAGGGCAGGAAGAGGGGTAGGCCCCGCTATTACCGGCTGCTGGGCTGAAAGCTCCAGTCCAGTCTCATCCAGAACCACCCACCGGAAGGAGGAGAGGGGCCACAGGGGATGAAGGCGAGAAGATTGGAGGGAGATGCTGTCAGTGTCACAGTGGCCACTCCAGCTGGTCTGTGGGCTCAGAGACCACTCTCTCCCCACGAATTTGCTACTCCCTCTTGCTAGGTCAAGTCACGTGATTCCTCCCCCCGCCACACACGTGCCGTAGGAGTTATACACTCCCTGTACTTGTCCCCTGTCCTCCATTCTTAGGGCTTCTGTCCAGAAGATGTTGCCTTAAGCACTAAGCTGACACTTGGATAGGAATGTCTTGCCCAGGATGCCGCTGCATAACGCAGAGCAAGGAAGGCAACCGGGTCTGACAAGAGGCCTGGGTTCTTTCCACTGCATGCAAAGGGCCCGAAGCCAATAGCCCTGGCAAGAAAGGGGTCTTCGCCAGCCACCAAGGTTTCCGAGCAGGGGAGTGGCACGACCGGGTGGGCCACGGGAAGCTGGACTAGGGGCCCGGTGCCAGCAGACGGCAAACCCAGCACGGTGGCTCCGATAAGAGCCGGAGTCAGTGGGGGTGGGGGGCGTGCAGGGGAGGAGGTTGGGGGCAAGCGATGCTCAGACTTCAAGCCACCACCCCTCTCAGGCTCTAGGGACGCAGAGGTGGGAAGAGACAGAGCCAGGGAGGAGGGGTTGGGCTGGGGAGGACTACGGCGCTCCACTTTTGGTTCCTGCCACGAGCCGTGCAGCGGGCTAGCGGGGTCGTCAGCTCACCTTCCCGGACGGCAGCCGCGGAGGACTGCGGCTCCCCCAGCACAACTTGGCCAGTGCAGGGCGAGCCCTGGAGCCCCCGGGGCTGTGCCTGCTCCCCGCCGCACACCAGGCTCCTGTACCCGCTGTCTCTCCAAGCTGATTCCCCATGCCAGATTGATGAACAACGTAATAAAGGGGGCAATCACATTATTCCTGAATGCATTTTAATAAAAATCAAATAAAAGCAATTATGTGAATTTTCAAGAGGATCACCTCTCCTCCTTTCCCCGAGGTAGGAAACAGAATGAATTCAGGAAATCATTAAAATCAGAAACCCGAGCTGTGTGCCACCGCTGCGTTGGCGGCTGCCACACAAAGGCAGCAGGGAAGCCCGGTCCCCAGCGGCAGCGCGGGTGCCTTTCTTTCGCTCTTTGAGTGGAAATTCCACCTATGGGTGAAGAAGGGTAATTAAGGGCCAAGAGAGATGCTTTGAATCCGCACTGCCTTTGCCCCTTCAGTACAAACTTCCCAGCTTCAAAGGGGCCTCGGACTGCCCGAGCGAGAGCTCTCCAACCTGGAAGCTCCAGAGGCCTGCAGAGGGCGGGCGCAGGGCTCGGAGAGGTCCCCCCAACCAACATGGCTCTTCCCTCTGCGGGGGGACATGCAACCCTCAGCCCAGCTCGAGGCCAGGATGCTGGCTCTGGGTGCAGAAGGACCAGGTCCCATGGAGGGGGGCCATGGGTACCTGCACCCCACACCTGCATCCTCAAAAGGGACACACGCTTTGTGATGTGCAAGGCCCTTCCCACCTGAGCGGTCATTCTAGCCCCATCTGCCCCTCAGATTGGTATGTCTTTAGGGGCTGGGGATGCTGAGGCTGGAGGGGGGCACACTCAAGGTCATCCAGCTGGTGAAGCAGTGCCTGGACTGGAGCTCGGTTTACCCAGGGCTGTGAGGCAGGCCCAAGTGGTCCGGACACAGCACAGCTTTGCCTTGCGTGGCACTTTCAGGAACAAGCATTGACCACCCCAGCTGCCGCTCCCTGGACCCTGGCCTGGCCCACCATCCAAACACTGTGAAGGGAGTGTGTTCATCTCGGTACAAGTTCAGGACTGAGCTTCAACAGAGTGAAGCGACCTGCCCACAATCCCACAGCCAGAAGGGAGGAATCCTGGCTCTGCCCAGGGTCATTGGAGTCCAGAGCCAAAGATTCTGATTGCCAAGCCACAGTGCCACCCTCATCAGGGGAAAGAGGCATTCACTCAGGACCTCTGGGTTGCATTCTGGTGCTGGGGAAGGAAAGAGAGTGACGATCCCTTTCCCTGCCCCCCCCCCTTCACAATGGCTATCCCGTGTCACCAGGTCAATGACACTCCAAAAAAAGAGCACCTAATCACCCTTATAATCATCTCTCTCGGCCACCAGGGTCCTGATTCTCAGATGGAGGGCAGCTGGCAGCCACAGGGCCCCTCTTAGGGCAGCCTGAGTTAAAAGAGCAAACTGGAACCACGAGGCAGAAGGCTGGCATCAGGCAACTTCCTTTGCCTCTCTGGGCATGCATGTGTGTGTGTGCCCACATGTGTGTTCGTGTGTGCACATTTGTGTATGTGTGGATACATGCGTACGTGTGTGTGAATGTGGGGGCAACGAGTGACGGGTCCCCAGTTTGGTGCTGTCCCACACTGTCCCATCTGACTCGGCTCAGAGCTCCCCCCATCCCTGCTGCTGCTAACAGGTGTGGTGCCCTCCCACAGGACGCTCAGGGAATGGCACCCGAAGGTGCAGTTGCCAACAGGGGGAAAGGAGGGTGCTGGGGAGGGTTCTGGGTGGCTCGTCCCTGTGCCAGGTTTCCCTTGGAAGTAAGGGTTGCTGGCGGGCCCTGTAGCATCTGGCAGCCAGGACCGAGAATCGGGCACTGGCATCGGGGCTTCTGGTCTCAGCCTCCCACCTGCCCTGCTGTCCTTCTCCGGTCTCTGGACCTCAGAGGCCTCAACTGGTAAGTGGAGGCAGCGGCACCTGGCTTTTAGGGCTAGCGCACAGGAGAGCGCAGGACCTGCCAAGAAGACGGTGTGTGAATCCTCTGTCCCTCTTGTCCCCTCGGGGGCAGCTGTCCCCCACACCGCTTGACCAACCCCTCTGGTCTCACACACAGCAGGTCCTCCATACGCTTGTGAAAAGGGAGTGCCCTGCACGTTCCGCAGGGCCTGTGGACTTGGAACCATGTGCATGCACACACGTGTGTAAGCACACATGTGGACACGGGCGCTCCTGTGGCCCCACCCACATGCTGGCACACCCCCTGACCTGCACACGGGTCTTGTGCACACACACCAACATAGCAGATGGGGAAACAGCAGCCCCTAGCCCTGGGCAGTCTCCTCCCAGACTTGCCTCCCATCCCCCCATCCAGACAGGCCGTGGAGCAAACTGTCTAGGACTTGAGGTTCCGGCCCATGGAGCTCCGTAGGGATGTCCTTGTGCCATCACCCTCACTCTGATTCTATCTTGATCACTCTGGAGGCACTTGCCCTGGTGTGACACCTGGAATCTGGGGACAAAGACTGCCTTGGTAGCTACTAGAACATCTGCCCCGGGATAAGGCCTGACGGAAGGGTAGCCAAGGACTCTCGCAGGGTAGAGGAGAGCACACCCAACTTTGCTGGGGGACACGAGACGGGATTCACAGGGAAGGCCTCCCAACAAATGAAACCTTGGAGCTGAAACTAGGAGCTGGCTTTTGCAAGCAGACCGGATGGAAAGGCATTCCGGGTGAAGGGAACAGCTCATGCAAAGGCATGGAGGCGTGGAGGCCGAAAACTGCCCGAGGCTCCCACCCTGCTTCTGCGGCTGCACCAGGAAGAAATGCCCTTTACAGAACACTCTCCGGGGAGGGCAAAACAGGGCACCACACTGCAAATGACCGGCAAGCATGGTAACCAGCGCAGAGGGCAGCCCCTGAGGGGGAGGAGCACACGGGCGTGCAAGGCACTCCTCAAAGCTCCCCTTTTCCCTTCAAAGAAGGCGCCCCCCCCCACCGCGGGAATGCAGCATGTAATGCAATGTCTCAAAAGCAACGTTAGCCCAGGATCCCACACATGTGCTACAACCATTTGTTGAGAAGAGGAAGGGGGTCGTGACCCAGCTTCAGGCAAGAGTTCCCTCTGGGACATGTCCCTGACACTCCAGTTTTCGGTATGATGGTCACGAGTGTTCACTGTAATGTGTTTCCTGCCTTCCAGTCTTTTCTACGCATGAAACAGAATGTAATAAAAGTTTGAATTGTATCCATGCCCAAGTTTACAGGGCTGTTCTGAGGCCGGGTTGGCTGAGATGCCTCTATGCGATGACCTGAGCTTGGGCATCCTCCCACGGGCCCCTGTACTCCGACGGCAGCATGGAGTCTGGACTCTTGTCCCAGCTCCACTGGGTCCATAGAAGATTCCAGTCATTTCCAGAACAGGACTGGGTGTAGCTAGGGAGGTAGGAGATGAATGCCCAGCCAACTTCTTGTATGGACTTGGGCACGTCCATTCCCCTCTCTGGGTCTCAATGTCCCCCCTGCACAGTGAGGGACTCTGGCCAGACTGTCTCCGGGTTTGAACCCAGGCTCTGCGGCTGTAGCACAGCTACCTGGAGACCTTTCCTACCTGTAAAGGGGACCATACAGAGCTGCTGTGAGGGCTCGATGGCACAGGCTTCTTAAGACACAGCCCCTGGCAGGTAGTGAATCCTCCGGAAGTAGTGTTATTTTATTTTATTTTATTTTATTTATTTATTTATTTATTTATTTATTTATAATATTTATTTATTTTTGAAAGACAGAGAGAGACAGAGCATGAGTGGGGAAGGGGCAGAGAGAGAGAGAGAGAGAGACACGCACACACACAAATCTGAAGCAGGCTCCAGGCTCCGAGCTGTCAGCACAGAGCCCAATGTGGGGCTCGAACTCACAAACTGTGAGATCGTGACCTGAGCCGAAATCAGATGCTCAGCCGACGGAGCCACCCAGGCGCCCCAGGAAGTAGTGGTTTAAAAAAAAAAAAAAAGTCACCAGAACAAACAAAAACCCTCAGTGGAAACAGGGTGAGATGGGAGGCTGGGAGAGAGCTCTGCTCCAGGTCTGGACTCAGCACTCACTGGCCTGAAGCTTCTGGAGTCCTTCCATCCCTGGGCCTCACTTCTGCTCCCGTGTAAAATGGGAAGCACAGGGCCCCTGGGAGAGGAGAAAGGATGAGAAAGTTCTCGCAAAGGAGAGTGTGTTGTAAAGGCCAGGGTCAGTAACCAGAGCTCTGGTCCCCAAGACCCCTCCCTAGGAGAGAAATCCCAACCCGCTGCCTGGGGGCCTCACCCAGGGCAGCCCTAATCTCAGCACAGGCCCAACGCCTGCTCCTGCTCCAGTTAGGGGCCTGGGCTGGATCAAAGGCGGAGAGAATTAGCATCACAGAGAGCCCGGGGGAGGGGAGGCCAGGATTAATTTATCTCCTCTTCCTGCTGCTCCCTCTGTAGCCCTTGGGGTTGGGGGGAGGGTAACTGTCCACCCCCAAGCCCCTAGCACACCCCTGAGGCCCAGTTCCTATAGAAGGAGGCAGAGCAGGGCAATGATTTGGGCGGGACCTGCACCGCACACACATTCTGGAGCCGTGGGCTTGAAGGGACAAGAATGAAGATGCCTGGGCCAGAGGGCCACCCGCAGAGCCCGGGGGCCAGGGGGCTGCAGCGTGAGTTCACAGATCCCGCCAGGTCATTTTGGGGACACAGGAGTGTATGTACCTCGCATGTGTGTGCGGGGGTGGTGGGAGATCTATGAACGTGTGAGAGACTCTCACATGTGTGTCTGTCAGGCGGTGTGGCCACTGGGTGCCTGAGTGTGTATGTGTATCCTTGAGGCCCAAGGGCCACTCATGCCATGTGTGTGTGTGTGTGTGTGTGTGTGTGTGTGTGTCCAGCCGGGTAGGCACGATGCCTGCACACGTCTGTGTCTGTGCCTTGACGATGGTGACACTCATGCGGGAGTGTCTGTGTGAGTCTGGGTGACTATGGGGTCCAGTGTGTGGACCTACGGACAGGCACCTGTGTAGACAGAGGAGCTGCTCGTGAACTTTGAAATGAGCAGAAAGGAAAGTGTGAGGGTCCCCCCACAGGGAAAACAGCCAGAAGGGGTCCAGACTTCTGTCTCGTAGTCTCTGCTGCCAGGCTCCCCAGGCTCTCTCCGCTCCTTAGGCGTCTCCTCTCCTCCCATGGAGCCGCAGTGGGACCGCCTGGCTCAACTGTCCCGTGCCTCAGTTTCCTCGTTTGAAACGAGTGTACTCACAGCGCCGTTATGAGGATTAAATTAGTTAATATAATGGAGGAATTGAAAACAGCCCCTGGCACACAATGAACACTCTTAAAGGATTCACTGGTGCTACCTGGAGGGGCAGAGTGGGACTGAACCGGGCCGGCCGGAGGAACGGGGTCAGCCCACAGCCTGCCAGGCACTGTCCTTGCAGAAGCCTACAAGGGAGATTGGCCCGGAGCCAGCAGAGCTGGGCAGCCTTTGGCGATGCCGGGAAAATGGAGCTTGTGCTGTTGGAAGAGTCACGAGGCACAACCTGAGCCAACTTGGCACCCACTGGCTGGGCACGTGGAGCTCCTCCCCCATCCCCTTCCGGCTTCCCAGCCACCCCCCCCCAAGTCCCTCCCACCACTTCCTACCCCAGGAGCGTCAGGCATGGTCCTACCCCCAGCCCTGTTTCCTCCTCCAACTGGCTCCAAAGGTCCACTCTTCATGCCCCTTCCGCAGATGGGGAAACTATGGCTCTGAGACATCCCCAAGAGGCATAGGTGGATGCAGAAACCTAGGACTTTGAAGACTCAGAATAGCTTGTAACGAAGGAAAATGCTAATCTGACCCCAAGGGCAGCCCACCTGGTTCTCAGCTCTTCGGGGTCTACACTGGCTTTCAGAGCCCCTGAAACGGCTCCCTCAGCTCTTCCGGCATCACGGGCTGGACCACTAACACACCCTTCCCTGTATTCACCTTATGGACTCTACCCATCTACCCAAACTCAGGAGAACATCCCCTAAGTGAATCCCTAATACACCTCTTCCACCTCTGCGCTTTTGCTCCTGTGTTCTGCCTTGCTGTCCACACCCACCCAGACCTTCATCTATCAAGGCCCACTGCAAATGCCACTTCTTCTATGAAGCCTTCTCTGACTGCCCGATTGCCTGTCCGTGGGTGGCCTCTCTCGATCCCTGGCCTCTAGGGACCTGGAGACATTCCTCTCTTTGGCCCTAACTGCTTTACCTGCTGAAAGGTCCTAGACGACAGACCAGGAGCTTCTCTGTCCACACCCACCCTCACCCCACAGGACAGGGCAAGAATGTCCATGGGCTGGGGTGCACGGTGGGCATGCACACACACACACACACACACACACACACACGCACACACACAGCTCCATAAGCCCCTCCAAGCCCTTCTACTATGGCCATTTCACATAGTGTTCCCCAGCTTAGGCCCCGGAGCTGACTTTCCTACATTCAACTGTCAGCTCTCCACTCACTGTGTGACCTTGGGCTTGGTACCTAACCTTTCTGTGCTTCAGATTGCTCATCTATCACTGGGAAGAATAGTTCTAATGCCACATGGCCGTGGTGAGAATGAAATGAGGTAGCACATGTAAATTCTTAGAACAACACCCTGCACACAGTGATCGCTATATGTTTACCATTGTTGTTAATATTTACACTGTGACAACCAGGACACAAAGAGGCACTGGACAGAATCTCTGTCCCCCAGAGGATGGGAGTCCCAGATAGGAACAGGAAAGGGGAGTCGCATTTCTAATCTCATGCAATGGTCAAACCACCTTGGAAGTAGTCATCACCGGCCCCACTTTGCAGATAAGGAAACTGAGGCTCCGATAGGTAGTACGAG